TTTAACTTCAACGATAGCAGCCGAACGCGCTAACCACTTGCGCCTTCGCGCTCCTCTTAACAGTCACATGATTTGTACAAATAACATTGTCCAAATATTCGATAAAACTAGCTTTAAATTTAGGTACCAATCAACTATTTTGAAATTCTTATTACTTGTCGACTTATGTGTCGGTCAGGCGTCGCGTTTTTAATAACTTAACAGTGCTTACGTTGGGGTAAGGCTAATTGGTGTGTGTTTGAAATATTTACGTATCTACAATTCTTTTTTATTAATTTGACCGGGTTTTTTAAATATAGGTACCAACGCGTAGTGAACAGCCAAGAGAACTCAGGAAAATATGACATAATATAAAGGTTCCTCTTTTTATTACCCTTTGAGTACAGTGCCCTTAGCACGAACTAATATCGAATTCGAATAGTTTGCGAGTGCGAAATGTCATTCTCAAAATTTGTACGCAAACTTGAACAGCAGCGCCACAATGGATGAAACGAAAACTGAAAACCAGTACTCATTTGACAATGACATTTCAGACTCGCAAACAATACGAATTCGATATTGGTTCGTGCTAAGGCTTTTAAATTGATTTAAGTCATACCTAGACGCAAGATCCTTTTATGTTGTTATGAATGGGGCGAGGTCGAGTGAACACGTAATAACATCTGGCGTGCCTCAGGGCTCTCATATTGGGCCCATCTTATTTAATTTCTTCATTAATGACATTTCAGAAAGCTTCCAGAACTCTTGCCCATTCCTGTAAGCTGATGATCTAAAAATTGCAAGATCTATTGAATCTCACAATGATACTCTGTTGCTCCAAGCTGATATTGATAGACTTTCGGAATGGTGCATCACCAATGACATGAGTCTCAATATCCAGAAATGCATGAGTTTTTTCTCGCAATCGCAAATGTGTGCCTTCATCTTACACGGTGTCAGGCGAGTTAATTCAGGAAGTTCACCATATTAGAGATCTAGGTGTTATATATGACAGTAAACTCACATTCGGTCTGCACATGGATCACATAATTAAGTGAAGTTCCAAAATTTTGGGTTTCAGTATGAGAATTGGAAAATTATTTCGCAAAACTAAAACTAATAAAATACTGTGTAACAGTCTTGTTCGAAGTACTCTTGAATATTGCAGTGTAGTCTGGCGTCCACATTTTCCAACGCATAATTTAAGGTTGGAAAGACTTCAAAAGAGGTTTCTGTGGCCTATGGCGGGCTCTTCGGGAATTGCTAATAAGATCAGAAACTATAGTGATAGACTAGTCTATTTCAATATGATGCCATTGAAAAAGCGACGTGATTTGTTGGATCTGCAGTTTCTATACAAACTTCTCCGGAATAAAATTGACTGTTGCCAACTGCTCGTAAAAATAAAATTCAACGTTCCCCGTAGAAACCTACGGCTCGCTATTAAACCACTGGTCCCACTGGTCCCACCCTTGCGTAGAACTGTCCTAGGCGCTAATTCCCCAATACCTCGTTTGTGCAAACTCCTCAACAAATATAGTCGGACCTTAGATGTCAATAACGATTCGCTGGCGAAGTTCAAACAAGGATTTCTGGAGGCTTATGAGACATGAAATGTATTCTTCTTCAACATGCATTTTATCTTTGTTATTAATTAGTTTATAAGTAATCTTTGTAAGAATTTCTTATTATTATATAATTTTTAATTGTATATTTTAACCTAATTTATGTATGCGCATGCAGTGTTGGCCTTTAATTGGTTAGCACATTTAGCATTAAATTCAGTAAAAAAGATTTATTGTATGTTTTTATGTACCAACCGTTGGCTGACCTAAATAGATAAATAAATCCCAAAAATCTATGTCATTCGTTAATTGTTTGACACAAACGCGTTCTGTTGTGTTTGTGTGGAGGTAAAACAAATCGGACGCTATATGTTTGCTCCGATCTATTTCCTCTATCATATTTTCCTATTGTCCCTTAATGCTCTGGGAATGCCGTGCGTTTTGTAGCTAAAGTAGTTTTCTTTGATTGAAAACTGTTTGTGTCTACAGACGCACAATATCTTGAGTTGATATATGGCGCAATCACGTGATTTATTCCTGTCAATTAATATCTTCTTCCTTACTGTTTTTGTAGGACATTGTTTGGTGTTATACTGGCACTTCATATGCCTATACAGGGTTCCAAGAGATAGGAGATTGGGTCAGGGTAGGGCTGAAACGATACGAGTAAATACAAGTAACTACTAGATACTTTTCTTTCGATACCAAGTACTTTTGGTATCGATACTTTAGACATGAGTAACAAGTAGTATCGTGAAGTAAGTACAAGAACAACCGATACAAGTATCGGTACTCGGTCGGTCACTCACTGAGAAGTATCAAAAAAACTCATAGGCAGATTATTTACTCTATGGTAAGGTGTCTAATTGGAATGTTTGTTTCGCGAACGTATCTTTTCTACTGCTCAGTTGGCAGGTATGATTATATTTATTCCAATTTATTCAGTCAGTCGTTCGTTCATTGCGTGGCGTGAGCCGTTATTTTGTTTTCGTTAAATTAATACTGTGGCTGAATTTATAATTGTATTATCGTTCGTCAAAATTTATCGATACTATTCATTTTATACCGAGTAGGTATCGATACTTTATGACCGATACAGTATCGAGAAAAAGTATCGATACCTAGATAGTATCGTTTCATCCCTAGGTCAGGGTAGGCAACGGTGCGAGTGTTATTGTGATATCGCAAGCGTCTATTAAGCGATGGCGGCCGCTTACCATCCAGGAGGGCCTGATGCTTGTTTGCTGCAAAGATTTGGTTTGCTGCTGTTAAAAAAACTAACATAAAAAAGTATATTGCTATTTGATAGCAGTCTCTCCTTTACATTTCATAGAGCATCATAAGGTTATACTAAGTGTCGCCGCACACGGACCACAACCACAAAACGCCGCCGGCATATTTCTTGTAGTTTTAATACATTTTATATGGACTCGCCACACACGGTACGCCGGTGGCCGCCACACGCTATCTTCGTTGCTCGCTTCTAGTGGCCAGCACCGGCCATTTAGTGCGCCGATACAAAACGCCGCGCCGCCACACGTCACTCGCGCGATTCCCCACCCCTCTCTCCCTTACCTTAGTCGGCCGCTGTCGCGCGCTTCAGCCACTTTAGTAGCCGCTTCTAGCTTCTCATGGCGGCGTTTGTAGCTGTGGCGTGTGGCTTGTGTGCGGCGACACTTACTGCTTTAAAATATATACATAGAAAATACCAAAAATATTTAAATGATCCCCCAAAAATTATAAATAATCACCTTAGCAATACAATTGATAACCTAAAAGTTAGGTTAGGGTACCAATTCTTTCATTCATTTTATTTCAATACGTGTGCCAAACGAATAGCCACATACACAGACCTCTTTTTCCCAGTGGGCACTTTGGGCAAGTGCCCACTGGGAAAGAGGGCCCCGCGATCGATAGGTGCCTCCTTCAGATCAAATACAAAGTCCCTAGTTCCTGTCACATCACCAAACGATAACCAATATTTATTACCAAAAAACTTACATAATTAGATGAAATCGAACCTAAATTACTGACTACAATACCAACTTACTAGCTTTTACATAAGCGATATTCTACTGTCGTCCAAAAATTACGCTTTCTGACTTCAGTATGCTTAGATAAATTTAAATATACATGTAATGGTATACTAAGCATATACACATTTTAAAGAAAAATCATCAGTTTAACACTCATTAGTATGCCTCGCTCCATTGCAAGTCATAATCCACATCAAAGTCTTAGGGGCCCCATTATCCTAATATGCACAGGGCCTCTAATAGGTTAAAGACGGCCCTGCACATACATAAGTCAAATATCGATATGTAAGTAAGTAGTTTCATTTTAATAATAATAATTGCACGATCCTAGTTTAGTAGATTTTTTTAAAACGCAATCTTTAATTCAAAGTTCTGCATTTACTTGATGTATTTTTGAAGAAACCTAATTTTTAAGTCAAATATAAAAAGTGTTTCGGAAATTGCCTATTTATGTAAGTATTTTAATATTTAAGTGAAAAGAGTCACAATTACTATGTAAAATGTAAAAGTAGGTACCTTTGTAGTAGAGCAGTATAATGAAAATAACAGCATATTTATTGCTCTATGATCTTAAATAAAAAGATATTATGTTTTTATTAAGTACTAGCGGCCGCCCGCGACTTTGTACGCGTGGAGATAGTTAGAAATAAAGGTTCACTGCTCGTTCCTCTTAGGTGATAGCGTGATAATATGTAGCCTATATGTTGACCCGACTTCTTAGTAATATTCGTGCTAAATTTGAAGTAAATCCATGCAGTACTTTTTTATTTTATCCCGGACAGACAAACAGACAATACTTCTAAAAACTTCTTTTGGGTTCGGTTTCGATTGTCGATCACACCCCATGTATTCTTTTAAAAAAATATTCAATTTACAGTTTTGACTTTCATACCATTTTATTATATGTATATAGACTAGCATGGATCCAGTGACGGACTAAGCCCGTCAGAGGCCCGGGGCGGCAAAGCTGAATGAGGCTCCCAGCTTTAAAAAAATGTAGATTCTTATGTTTATTTTGTTAGAACCACTAAATAGAATGTAGTTAATGTAAATGTATGCGTACAAGAGTAAATTATTTGAAATTCATTCATTCAGGGATTCCTGAGCAAGTACCCGCTACAAAGACGGGAATTCCCCCAGCGTATTGGACGCGTTCAGCAAAGTTAAAAAAATATTAGTACCGCGTAATAAGTCTAGATTACTGTAGTGTTTTGATCTTGATGAAATTATGTATTATTATGCTTAGTACCTAAGCACATTTTTAAAGTCTTGTTTAGGATTTGATCTGGGGAACGCAGAAGCATTTGGGGGCCCCCCAAGATCGGCGGCCCGGGGTGGGCCGCCCCTTCCGCCCCCCAGTTAGTCCGCCACTGCATGGATCAACGATTTAATCCTAACCGTTAATTTTATATTGTTTCAGATCATAAAGAAAAGTGTGCGAAATCTGACAAGAAAACACTTTATTACTTATCAAAAAGAGAATAGTGGTACTTGAATAATGTGCGAAAGGGGGATGGTCTCGTGCGCTCGCGTCGCTGACCACTCGTGCGCGCTCGGCTGTTTCCGCCGCGGTTGTCAGTGAGAATCCAACATGGCGGAGAAAGTCAGCTGATCGAAACGGTGCGCGCGCAAGCTTCACAGCACGCGGCGGATCAAGCGCATCATGGTAAATATTTTAGTCCTCGCGCACCTGATCCCACCTTTCCGAAGGTTCGAAGGACCATAAAGATGTCTGGGACACATTTAGTTGCTTGATAATGTTATGATAGGTTCCGAAAAACTGTCCCGAAAATGTTGTTATGTTAAATGATAAAAAGATGTTGTTTGTATGAGTAATTTATTACTACTGTTCAATTCACTTAATAAAAGGCATAACGACGCGCGCAGCGCCGACGTTAGCAAAATACTTAAACATATAGAATAGGGATGATGACTAATTTTTTTTTCTTCGTTTATCGGGTAGATTATCAAAAAGTATTGGACACGTATTTTTTCTTTTTTCACATATTATAAACATTGCAGAGATATATTGATTTGAAAAGTCGCATGACGTCACGTTTGAATACACTTATAAGGGAAAATTCACTTAAAAGTGACGTCACGAGCCCCTACTCCCAAACTTTGATGCGCTATAACTTTGTCATTTTTTGGTTGATTGCCCAAAGAAAAAATACGTGTCCATTATTATTTGATCATCTAACTGACGGACTAAATAGAATTTCGTTTACTGTACCCCGTCATCACCCCTATTGTACGGGTTTGCCCGTGCACATACACTGGTACTATCGACAGAGGGAATGAACGTAAAATAATAAATGAACAGTCAAGAATGTGACTTCTGCCCATGGAATGTGGGCCTCTTATCCACAAACGTAGAATTAATCTGGGACGAAATATAATACGTCCACAGGAAATGAAATCTCTAAAAGAGGAAGGTTCTACGCTTCTTGGGAGCTGTCGGTCTAAAAGCAATATTTTAACGTATCTTTACCTGGTGGCTAGCCTCAATATAATATCTATAATATTTACTTTTTAAGCATGTAACTGCTTGATGTTTTAATCTAAAGAAAATCATTCTCTCTCTCAATATATCTTTTAGATCGCAATGTCTACACTTCCATTAGGGCAGGAGCACCAAAAATCCGAAATAATAATAATGGACGTATGACTTACTACGCGCCTGCCAGGAAGATAGCAGGACGGCTGTGGCACTGGCTTTGCTGATGTCCATAGGCTTTGGAGGAGGAGGAGGAGCTCGATGGCGCAGGTGGCTAGCGCGTTCGGCTGCGATCGTTGAAGTTAAGCAACTTTCCCAGTGGTCGGTCATTGGATGGGTGACCAAAAATTTACTATCTCGAGCTCCTCCGTGCTTCGGAAGGCACGTTAAGCCGTTGGTCCCGGCTGCATTTGCAGTCGTTAGCACCCACCAATCCGCACTAGGCCCGCGTGGTGGGTCATGGTCCAATCTCCCTATTCCATCCATAGGGAAGGCCTGTGCTCCAGCAGTGGGGACATTAATAGGCTGATGATGATGATGATGATGATGATAGGCTTTGATCGCTTTGTCTCTTTCACACTTCTGTCCGTTGATTGCACGATTTCGCTTGGTTTCTTTCAAGAAACTAGAGAGAGATACATTTTTTTATAAAAACACGACCAGACATACATACACACACACAGAATGATTTAAGAAGTGTTCGCTTTGGTCAGAGGCATTATCATTATTCCCAGCGAACCCCGTGTCTCCGACCCAAATGACGTTTCATTTCGGTCATAAGGGGATAGCTACTGATTCATTATTGTTTCCACAGCAGGTGTTCGGCGAGTGGGCCCAGGTGGAAGTGGTGGAGTTGGTGAACGACGGGTCGGGGCTGGCTTTCGGCATCGTGGGCGGCCGCTCCTCAGGAGTGGTCGTCAAGAGCGTGCTGCCAGGTGGCGTTGCTGATAGAGTGAGTGTCTTGCGGATTTTATACTCTGATACCTCTCCTATGCTCGCGTCAACTGCTACAAACGGCTGGTGGGGGGCTGGCGTCCATCGTGGGTGGCAGATCCTCGGGGGTGGTTTTCAAGGGCGTGCTGCCTGCACCAGGGGCGGCGCTAGGCGTCGGCGACGTCGGGCACCTGAGGGGGCCTCGCAAAACATTTTTACAACTTACCTATTTATTTTCGTTTCTCCTGGCCTGGCTTAGGCAGCCGATCCCGAGCAATTCGGGTAAAAAGCTAAGCAGATGATAATGACTTTTATTATTTTCGAACACGTGCGTGATGGAAGCGAGTAGTACTTTACGGGTATTCAGAATCGTCTGTCTGGCAACACTATTTTTGTAATTAAATTTCTATGTTTGTAATTATTTTTTGTCATCATTTGATTATCAACAATAAAACTCATTTACTCATACGTTATTTTATAATTTGGCTCACTTCATTTAACAGTTTTTACTGCGAAATAAAATAGGGCTCGCGGACTTGATGTCGCCGACGTCCACATGTGGTCTAGCGCCGCCACTGGCCTGCACTGTAGGAGTCATTGAAAGGGTGAATGACAAAACTCTGGATTTTATACTCATATAGTATGTTTTATCATGTCAGCCGTATGACTGACTGACAGGGGGGGGGGGGGGGGGTTTGCCATAATCCCCCAAGTATGTTTATATTGGAGAAGTTCAATGGTGAAGGAGGTTAGAGCATTCGGCCTGCTATTGTGGAAGTTAAGCAACTTTCGCAAAGGTCGGTCATTGGATGTGTAAAAAAAACTAATTAGCATGGAGATAGATAACTGCGGATATAATGATCACATTTAATGAAGGAAAGCACAGTAAATAAAGAAGTCGAAAGAAGAAGGGCGGCCCATATTGATTTTGCTAGTGCACATGTACCGTCTCGTGGGTTGCCAAATCAATAAGAGCCTTCCGATGCGAACAAATTCTGTTCGAAACTGCGTGAGAAATGCAGCTCTACCATGATTTCCTGTAGTAATATTACGTTAACTACTGTCGTTAATGTATTTATGAGCATCACTCACTATGTCTCGAAGAAATCTGGCAATTATCAGACAAAATTGCTGTGGTATAAAATTGTAAGGTTTTAGGTCAAGGGGTTTGATATTTGTGTCGCGGCTGTGACCCTTGGGTATCATGAGTCCACCTCAGTTACTTTGGGAATCAATGTTCAAATATAACAAACAATTCCTTCGGTGAAAAAACTTTATTGTGAATTAATTATTACTTCTCTGTTTATCTGCAACGTTTTTAAATCTGTGATCGGTTTTGACAAAATTTTAAGAACTTGGACAATGACATAAGAATGTGAAATAAGGAATAAAATGAATGAGATATTAATTATTTTACGACCTATTTATACAAAATGTAAATTGTAGTACATAAAATGAAAAAAATAAATTGGACCGTAACACAGACTAAATAATATTATAATTCAGTATACCTGTTTTTCATGATGGTGGATATATTTTTTATTTGTTTAATCTGTCATTGTAGTTTATTTGTATTAATATGAATGCTGTATTCACCTATTAAAAAGCATATCTATAAGTATGGTATTTATATATTTTTTCAAATTGTAATGTAAAATTATATGTTGTTAGTAAATCTTTGTCAATAATATAAAAAAATAAAATAAATAAAATGTGAATTTTCCTGATCATGACACATTCAAAGCTATCGCAACACAGTACGCAGCCGTTTTTAAAAACGTAGGTACCTATCCAATTTTATCTGGGTCATTGGGCAACATTACTCATACTTCCTTCCACACAGCTTTCAATCAATCGTCGACATAATATTAACATCTTTCATCGCCATATCATCTTTCACATAATCTTTCTATCTTGAGCTCTTTTTGGGGTTCCGTACTTCTCTCTATCTGTCAGGACCTTAGATAAATCTCAAAACGCGTGGAGGTTGCGGGTCCAAATTTAAACTGACTTAGTTCTACGGTCCCTTGAAGTTGTAAAAAAAATTTATTTTAACATGAAAAAAATATACGGCCGTTTATCTTAATAAGTTTACGGATGAGGTAAATGAGTGTCTTAACGAGAGGAAACACGTCTTGGCTTTATTCATTGATTTTTCGCGTGCATTTGACACGTTAAACCATAGGCAACTGATTACGAGGCTAGATGCTTGTGGGGTGCGAGGACCGCTCCAAAGTTGGTGTATGAATTATCTACAAAACCGAAAAATTCACCGTGCGGATAGGTGATGCGTATAGCGAATCAGTATCAGTGACAGAGGGCACGGCTCAAGGATCTGTGCTTGGACCTCTCCATTTTCTATCTTATGGGAATGAAATGCGTCAAAGTATTTTGCATAGCTCTTGTTACCAATTCGCCGATGATACATGTTTAGTGGTTGCAAGCAGGGATCCCCAGGTAGCTCGCGATCAGCTTCAATCAGACTTTAATTCTCTAGCAAAATGGTGTCATGATTCTGGTCTTGTTATTAACACCAACAAGACCAAATTACTAGTAATCAAGTCCCCCTACATTAGGAGTTCCGATGTGTTGAAAGGCATTGTTGGTCACAGTCATCATTGCCTGCACCGGCATAGGGCAGGATCTTATGCTTGTCCTTGCATAGATGTTGTTAGTACTCAGAAATATCTAGGTTTACTAATAGATCATAACTTAAATTGGAATAATCACGTAGATTATATTTGCAATAAACTCAGACAATTTTTGGCCAACATTATAATTTTAAAGAAAAGAATTCCCTATAAAGTTAAACTAATGCTGTACTACTCTCTAGCCGAATCATATATACAATATGGGTTGAGTAGCTATGGCCGTACCTATCACACTTATCTAAATAAAATCTATAACCTCCAACTTAAAATTTTAAAGAATATTGTATCAGGTAAAATACGACGAAAATATCATAATGACGATATTAGTCTTTTTAAACATTGCCGTGTCTTGCCTATTTTTATTCAGTTTAAAATACATTTTTATTAAAATGCAATTCTTTAACGATGATCTTAAAAAAGCAATAAATCACCCCGTGTACACGCGCGCAGTGGCTATGAACCAGCTGCAGACGAGTCGCGCATGTAATGTATACGGCAAAAGAACTGCCACCTACCTACTTCCGAGATTTATCAATGAATTACCACCGGAATTACGGGTCACTCTTACAAACGCTAATATTAAAAATAAATTAAAAGAATACTTTTTAAACAATTTATAAAAATATATTTCCTTATTACTTATACTATTTACTTATCCAAGCCCAATATATTTTGTCTATTTTAAATGTGCATTCATACGTTTTTTTTTTTTTATTAATGTAATAACTCCGTCGTGCAGGCGTACATCATCGCATAAATTCAAACCTCTGTGGTTTAAGATGCGATTGATCACAACATTATAATTATATTTATTTGAAACTGGTAATAATAAAAAAAAAAAAAAACTGTCTGTCTATCAAGACCCTTTATCTAGCGATCGCGTGGCGGTTCGAGTCGAAATTTGAAACATATACTCAAGCCTTCGGTCTCTTGAAGCTGTAAATAAATCACACTTATATGTTTACGAACCTTTTATGTTGCGTACGTACAAATTTGTACGGCACCCTCGATGGCGAATCTGACTCTCACACGTCCATTTTTTACATCTATTCATATTCGTGTGAATTTTAATAAATAAACGTTGATCAACCTGTTGCCTCAATTATTTATTTATTTATTTAATAGTGTACCTATTAAACGGAGTGCACTTATCACATGGTTAAAAATAACATAAATCTGGTAAAAATCTAAACTGCCATCCAAAACAGTGTACACCGCATAAGTAAAATTAAAACAAAACTTTAAAACTAGGCTAAATCATTTAAAACAGTTAATAAAATGAGGTAGTAAAAATAAAATATGGAAATTAAGGATCTTGAGTACCAGGGCCGAAGAAAGTAGAGATGCTTCTTTTGAACACTGAGAAACGGGAGGTGAACACATCAATACCTTTGTTGTTCCTTGAAAATTCGTTATAAGTTCTACACATTCGGACTATAGGATTATAATACATGTCGGAGAGCGACTATTGACTTTGTCATTAGCGTTCAAGGGCTTAGTGGGCATCATTGGGGCTTGATACAGGCACAAAACCAAACGATCACTCAATCACTGTTCGTACAATTTTAATTACGTTCTTTTAAGAAAAACAAAATAAAAATGTTTCACACACACACTTTACACTAAGAACACTTAAATAACGTAACAACCGAGCAGCGGGTTCAAGGTACCAATCTGACTTCACTGAACTACCGTATCACCTTTCTAGTAATGACCCGCTACGATCAGTTCCTCGCCTTTAAATACGTGCAAAAACTACCTCCCACCTGTGAAAATCAAGATGGCGCCTCGACCCCACTCGAGGCACGCGCTCTGCTCTGATTGGGCGCGAAATAAGATGATTTATAAGAGACTTTTATTAAATTGTTAAGTTACTGAACGATACAAACATTGTAATTAATTAAATCAAATTAAATTAAGATTTTATAAAATTATTTAAAGTGTAAACAAATAGCCTTTTCGCGATTGGCATTCAACAAGAAACTCTACTCGTCACATCCTCCGACATACATATAAATTACATCTGGTCGCTAGTTCGAATACGATTGCCAATGGAATTCGGGTAAATGACTAAGTTACACACATCTTTCATTCCAGTGTAAATATTGCTTCGGGTGCCCGAATTCGAGTAACATCTTTCGTGCACCCGAATACGACCAAAAGCCATGGCATTCGTTGCTAACACTCCACAAGTGTGTACACTTGTTATTTGCAAATTGGCAAAATTATCCTGCTTTTTTGTTGGTTTGGAAATTGGGGCCCAATGCCAACCTCTTAGCCCAGTATTATTCTAATTTCAATATGCCAACAATTACCAGGTGGTTTCACATATCGACGGTACCTACGTAAAGTCCAGAAGGTCTACATT